TTCTATGAAGCATAAAACTTTTTTGGAGTCTCTCCCCTTTCTTTTAGGTCACTCCCCTGCTCCATCTTCCCTTGTCTTCCATGGGATGATGTTCAGTGCCAGTAGGAGGCATCAGAGTCAAACTGCTCCTTTCACTTTTGACACTCATCACAGTGTCACTGTATAAGGAGATTCCTCCAGCTTCGGGCACTGCAGGATGCAGTGTCAGAATGAGCCGCCCTACCCCCACTGGGACATATTTACTGCAGTGTCTTATTGGAAGTGCAATTCGCCATAGTGATTGTGATGGGCAGGGCCAAGTGAGTGACAGGTGTGAGTTACTGTGTAGTCTGGGTAGATTAATAGCCATACAGTGTTTCTGTCTAATATTACTGTGGACTAAAATGGAGATGTCTGAAATAAGCACAGTCATGGAAGTGAGCCAAATGTCTCAGGTGTTCGCTTTCTCCCTGCTCTCTGGCAAAGACAATCAGATTAAGCTCCAAAACCAAAATAACGACTTGTGTTGTTTTCTGTGTTTTCTTTGTTTCTATTTTTTTACGTTTGGATACCCAGACAGCGAGCCTGGTTCTGTTTAACTGGCGCTAAAAAGATTAGCTGCTCTGTATGAAGGTGCTAAGCACAGATCAGTCAATGTGAGATTGGCTGGGGGTTGCTGTGGGCTGGGGGGGACTATGGTCAAAATTGCTTAATGGTTTTATTGAATTAATGGCACATCCAAAAGAGTCTCTAGGCTCTGTCAGTCAAATACGGTGACACCATGCTATCGGAATGCCTCCTCAGAGTGCTGAAACAATAGATGGCTTCAGTTGTGACCCTCCCCTCTAGTTTTAACTCAATAAAAAATTAATGCAAAGCAGGCATCTCATACATCTCTTTGTCTAGAAAGGAAGATGAAGTGGGCCTGAGATGGTGGGTTTCTTACTCTTCCTCAAAGGTCACTAAAGTTTATTCCAGGTGATGATGGATGAACTGAGCTTGGGGTGAAGTTTAGGCCCATGTGGTGAACATCACTGATATAGTGATCCTTTCATATGGAGTAATGCCCATTTATATGTCACTCTCTTTGGACAATGTTGCTCTTAAATGCAAGCTAATGTTGAGTCATGGTGGGGCAGACATTTGAGTATTTTTTCTTGCAAAAGATGAAGCTTTTCTGCTCAAGTCATGGAAGTCCATGCAAAACTGAAAATAAAACATTAACGATTAGACCTAGAAACACTGATAATTCCTATCTATCAATTTATGAATGAATCACACTCACCTCTGCTTCCCACCAATTTCTCTTCAATCTTCAGCCTGTCACAACTAGTATGGTCTTTGGTTTGATATTTCCCTTGATGAAATGAGGCATTTTACTCAAATACACCATTTCATTACTGTTGTTAAACATGGTGGCAAAGTGGAAGAATTTTAGGAAATTAACTTGGCTGGAAAATCTACTGAAGGGACCCACGCAAAATTTGCCTGCCTAGGACATCTGAAAAGGTACATACTGTCCTGTGTACAAGTGACTAAAATAAAACTAGGAAAATTCATATCAGAATTGCCAAGTAAGCAGGGGTGACTGATGAATATATTTCTTAAAAACTTGAAAAGCACTGGGAAAAAGGACCTGCCAAGATGGGGCCATGACCGTCAGACAGGATGACCAACAGGCTCGGCTGCAGGTCAAAGGTCAGTGCCTCAGGATATTCATGCTCATTTTTCTTACTGATGCCTTTAATAATGTTTTTAGAAAAAAGACAGGAAAGTATAATTTTATACATTTGATAATGGTAGACAGGAAAACACGTTTTTTGTGTATTTGTGTGTGTGTGTGTGTATATATATATATATATATATATATATATTATATAAATATAGATTTGTTCACATTTAACTTTAAAATTATGTATTTCAATTTTAAATTAATTAAAATCCTGATAAAGCCACAGGAGAAAAAAATACAAAAGCCACGAAATGTTGGAGATGGCCACTCTTACCGCAAAAACTGCTGTTTTTTATTAAATGAGATGTTCTTGACCTGGACCTGGCTGAACTGAGTGACCTGGGTCTGAAGAAGTATTCAGCTTTCATAGCAGTGGCCAGACCAAGCAGTCCACACTGGAGGAATATGCATTTTCTCTGCATATTCCCAAGAACAGCACATTGATGGTCAGGTGACCAGGCATAGCATCCAGTCAAGATGAACACATTTATTATTACATTACCATGTTATACAAACTACAGCCTACAGCACAGTGTGAGGCTGCTTCATTGCTACATTGCATAGCCTGTGACACAGTTACAGGACAGTTATTCTGTAAGCATATTCTAGATGGGAGACAGCTTGGTCACACCAGAGACCAGTTTAACTCCTGTATTTGCTCCATGGTTACACCATGCAAGTTCTGCAGGAGGTGGCATTTCAGCACATCCTTGCAGGAAATCCTCCTGATCAAATGTCATGTAGTGGCTAATACAGCTGCTCTGCCAGCCATTCCGATAGAAAGCTGCCTTACCGTATGTGAACAAATCAGAAATCACTCACACAGAACTCACACAGCTTGCAATACTAGACTTTATACCATATCATACAACACCACACACAGTATTTCAGAATGGATGGATAGATTAAACCATCTGTGAATCTTTGCGCATTTGTTACCTGCTAAAGAGATAACAACAGCAGGTTAAGAGGAATACACTGCAGTTCTTATGACATTCAAGAATTTTGCTGTTAGCGTCCATTTTAATTGCACAGGGAGGATATGTAGACCTCAGATTGGCGCTTTATGAGACAAAGGTATACCTTTACAAGGTATCCTTTCAGAAATAACTTCACATCAAGGTTTGGTCCATTGCATGGAGAACATTTCTTATAAACTGTAGGATTTAAATAAACCACATTCTGTGAATTATAAAGGTACTCTTTGTCCAGCCCTGTTTGTCCTTTACATCACATCACACAATCATTAACAAAGCATCATAAGGCTCTGCGGTTCCGTTTATGGACACAGCACTGTCATTCCTGTTCACTGGCAGACAGAATTCCAGCCTAATGGAATTAATTGGAAAGACATGAAGTGAAAGGAACTGTTGAAAGATGTCTATGTTTTTCTTTTAGATACAGGGAAACCTGTGTCTAAAAGTTTTGGGTACAAGCTGTATTCCAGTTGTTGGATGCTGTATACCGGATATCTAAATAAAATACTCTAAAGTATTTAAAACAAATTTTATAGGGGAAATACTCAGCCTTCACAGAACATTCAGTAAACTCACCAAAATAAACAGGCCCCTTAAAGGAAAGCATTGATGTCTATTTATGACAGTAATAAAGAGTGTGTAGCTGTAAAATGACAAATTACATCAGGTGCTCAAATTGTCAGGAAGGCTGTTAATGGAGTCTGGTGGGAGGGTCACAGTGGAGTTCAGGGGACATATATGTAATGAAAACAAAGGAAAGAGCTTTCTGTTCTCCTGCTCGCTGCAAAATGAGCACACTGCCTCTGTACGTAAGAGTAGGGACTCATTGCTGATCACAGCGCTAGAGAATATTTGTCATAGGTTGTTCAAATGCAGCACTTACTCATTTTATAAAGGTTCATGCAGATAAATTGCTCTGTGGCATCAGCCATACATTTAAAATCAAAATTAAGATGTTGTACAAAGTAGCAGTGAGCTGATCTGAATTTCAATGTTGCACCCATGATAATCTGAGCTCATTAAATGCTGCACTGTGTACTTAGAGGCAGTGAAGTGGAGGTGTTTTCACCGTGACAGGCTCCCTGTTAAGTTAGGGTTGGAAAATCTGATTATCCCTCTGATTGGCAGCCCCCCAGGCTGGGAGAATGATCGACACAGTGTGAGAATGGACACAATGGCCTCTTGTGTTCCTTTCTTTGCCCTGGTGGTGAACCATTCTCTGCCTGCATTTGATCATAGCTTTCCTTATCCGTGCCAAAGGTTAGGACTTTCAAAATTCTTAGACTTTCTATATGAGAAAAAATGTACCTTTAATTCCTACAAAATAATTCTGTAATATAGTCTGGGATATAGTCTTCATCCTCAGTTCTGAGATAGAAACATGTATCTCAATTTGCACCACAAATTATCTAGTTGAGATTACTGAATAACAGCAATAGCCATAATGCAATTATGTTGTGTGGGTCTCCTCAGGTACCTCCTTCTGCCTTAAGACATACAGCTCTGGAAAAAAATAAGAAACCACAAGACAATTTTTTGTTTCATTCATTTCTCAATGAATATTTTTTTGGAAAAGGCAACCTGGTTCTCCTCTGTTTCTCATTAATGAAAGGCTTCTTCCTTGCTTGATGGGACTTCAGTCCTGCTTATAGGAGCCTGATACAAACTGTCCCAGCAGTGCACTTCACACCTGCACTTAATTAATGTTTCTCATTTCTTTTGAAGATCACTTGATGTCATCCTATGATTCATGAGAATTAGTAGGATAAGTTAACAGTCATCTCTGGCTTTAGAAAGTCACTTCTACCCTTGTTTTAATGGTCATTCTGGTGTCTCCTGCTTCACCTTGTTCTTGGGTACTGCTGTCTTAGAATTTTTGAACCTGGAAGCAACCTGTTACTCGGTGTAGCCGTCTGCCAGCAGAACCATAATTAAACCAGGATTTTAAAATGCAGATTTGTTTAAAAATATAGAGTTGTCTCTTAATTTTTTCCATGGCTGTACATTAACAATTGAATTGGTGTGTGCGTGTGTCGTGAACTGCAACGGCCCCAGTATCCAATCTGCCTTGTTCCTTAAACTTCCAGGGATAGGTTCCAATCTCTCTGTGCCCTTGTATTGGTTAAACAATTGGAAGATTAATGTATAATTAATACACGTTGTAGCTTCAGTTCCATTATATGTTTGCAGATGTGAATTAATTTATTTTGATGTGCCATTCCTGCGTTGCAGTGCCATGCTCGTCCGACAGGTGGCTCCCTCTTTTCAAAACCCCGGAGACTCCCTGCTGCTTCGGCCGGCCTGTGGTTGCTAATAGCGACCAGACGGCGTCCACGGACAGCTTGGCATCGACACGGCTGAGGCGACGGTGTTTTCGTTGGATAGTTCGCAGTTTGTCTCGACAGTTTGTCCGAAACCAGAAGTTTGGAAACATGCCGCCGAAAAGAGTGAAAAGCAGCTCCCAATCCTTCCCGACAGTCGCAGCTGGCAGTAAAGCTTGGGAAGCAGGACTCGCTGCGGCACCCTTAGAGGAGGTAGTCTGTGTATCAAAAATAAAATAAATTAAACGGACATTGATCATACTTAAGAGTAATTTTAAAGAAATGATGTAGCATGGCTAATTTAAATAAATGTCTATGCAGTAGGCATCTTTTCGGGCAGTATTCCGAGATTACCCTTGACTTTAATTTCATTCCTTTTGTTTGTATACCACGCATGCTATGGCAACCCTCTAAACAATTCATGACCGCTTGCCGCTTGCTGTCCCTGTCGTACTTTCTTTAGGAAAGGTAATACTGCCACCTGGCGCTGTTTTTAATTAGCGGTGCTCCTGGTGCGGAAATACCTTCGTGGCGTTAGGTCCTCACGTACAAGGGATTGAGAGGCAGACCGCAAAAGTTTTCGAGCGGGGGGGTGGGGATGCGAGGCTACGGTAAATGACAACACATACACACAACTTCTTTAGACCAATGCCTTTTAAACTTTTCCATAGTAATAAATGTCGATAAATTTAAATAGTAATCGATCCCAAAAGATATCGATCTTCCCATCAATTTAACAGAACCAAGTTAAGGTTTGTGATAAGGACACGATGTTGAAAGTCGGGGGGAATTTTTTCTGTCACCAGATTTAAAACCCACTTAGCAACACGTTACGGTTTAACTCCTGCAGAAACGTAGCACTTTGGTGTTGTTTTAATGAGCATGCACGCCGCATGAGCAAAGAAAATATTCGATTACGAATCTCATATTTGAATCGGTTCGTGTTAAATGGCGGCCTGCTGATCTGCTGTGCGCTTACGCGGTTGCAGGCTGGCTGGACGGCGTGCCTCTCCCTAGTGGCAGCAGCAAGCCCGAAGGACGAAGAGTACACCCAGGCGCTCTTGCGAGCTGTGCAACAGCGTCAGCGACGGCTTTTCGTGGCCATCACCTGGGACGCCATGCTGGAAAAGGCGTGTAGATCGTCTTCTTACCTTCGCCACAACACCGACTGAGCCAAAACATCGCTTTCAAAGTCTACTGTTGTAGTGAATATGCATAAGCATATTGTAAAGCTGATTATAAATGGCGTAGAAAACACAATGCATAATCATACCCCATGTACAATTTATTCAATCTCCGTAACATTCCCTTTTCTAATGAAGCAAGCTGGATGTCATACATCTATCATCAGCGCAAACCTTTCAGCCAGATGTCCGAGTGCTCCAGTAACTACGCTACCTACTTTAATGAATCACTATGTGTACTAGAAGTCACATCCTTACTTGGTCTGCCTTCAAAGACTTGCTTGCCTTTTAAAAAATGTCTTTTAAATCATGCATTTTATTCACCCCTAGATCAGTGAGCTGGGAAATCCCAAAGCCAAGAAACCAAAGGATGTTCCTTTGTTTTACGAGGTAATGTGTCTTTAGCAAATGTTTTCATCTCATCCATCTTTGGAAAGAACATTTGTGCAAAACGTGCCGTTTTGTGGCATATGGGAATCGCTTCCGGTCAATGGTTGCCTTGTAAGTTAAGTTTGCTGAGACATTCAGGAGTTCCTGGAATGCTTGTACATGGATTGGTTTAGATGACTTTATATTAAAAGATCCAATGAAGGCTTTCTACCTCTGTTCTGTTCTCTGCTGTTACTGTTAGTAATATTGAAAAGCTCTTTAATTTGCCTCAGTAGTTTTAACAATTAATTAATTAATTATTTAACTAATTAAGCTAAATTAAAAATCCATCAGTCTATCCATCTTCTGACTACTTATGCAGAACAATATCACGCAGATCCTGGAGCCTATCCCAGGTAACGTAGGGCACTATAATACACTTTTTAAGTTCAACTAAATGAACCATTGTCATTTGAATTTTGAGATGCATTCACTCATCCGGTAAATCAGCAGTGGGTAATGAAGACTAAACTGGAGTGAAAACCATGGTACTGTGCATCGTTCCATGATTAGTGTTCTAACATTCTGACTAATATAATGTTAAATATAATAAAACATGAAAATGGACTATCTCCAGTTAATTATGATACCTTGTTCCTCATTGTACGAGCATACGTACACAGGAATCCATTATTTCAGGAACGTGAAAAACGTATTTTCTCAGGAACTACTTTACAAAATAAACCTAAAACAACATAATGAGACACCTTAACACCACAAATAGAAACCTGTCTTTACACAGCAGTTAATGAATGGTTTAATGTTTTATATGGACTTATGTGGGTTGTTGTCAGAGAATGTAGACGTATGTGGTTTTCTTATCATGCATTCCAATGCCACACGGTTAGTCTGAGGCTTGTCTCTCTGTTCACTATATTCCAAGAACTCAGTAGGTTATCGTCATCTACTCTAGATGTTTGGACATAATCAGTGCCCTATTGTACAGTGATACCTCAGTTCTCGAACTCATTAGAACTCGAATTTCTTAAAAGTCGAACCAATCAGTTCGAAAAAAATTTATCTAGAACTCGATCTGAATCTCAGAAGTCAAACCGTGAACGCCGACCTAAGATAACTTATACCCCACATGCCCCAATGTTTCTGGGAGTATTCCACCTATAGTAAAAAGTCACTTTTATCAGTCTTTTGGACTGATGAGACAAAACTGGAGCTTTTTGGCCAGTCACACCAGCTCTATGTTTACGGAAGGAAAAGTGAAGCTTTAAAAAAAAGAACACCATACTGTACCTACTGTGAAACATGGAGGGGGCTCAGTTTTGTTTTGGGGTTGATTTGCTGCATCTGTCATGGGGAACCTTGAATCTGTGCAGAGCACAATGAAGTCTCAAGACTACCAAGGCATCCTGGAGTGAAATGTACTGCCACTGTCAGAAAGCTCAGCACAGCCTCACATGTCACGAGTTCTCAAGTAGGGTAATGGCCAAAAATATACAGCTAAAAGCACTTAAGAATGACTGAGAAAAAAAACATTGGACTATTCTTAAATTGCCTTCCATGAGCCCAGATCATAATTCTATTGAACATCTATGGAAAGATCTGAAAACTTGCAGTGTGGAGATGCCACCCTTCAAACCTGAGACAGCTTGAGCAGTTTGCTCAGAAAGAGTGGGTCAAACTACCTGTTGTTTTTTGCATTTATCACCTTGTGTGGTGTGATATGACAGCTTGCTTGTGAATCCTTGTGATACATACATTTATTTACATTTTACACATTTAGCAAATGCTTTTGTCCAGAGCAACATACTAGTGAGGAGCAGGGTTCGAAATTAACACCCGCCAACCCGCCAAATGCGGGTTAAAAATCATTTTGGCGGGTATTGATAAAAACTTACCAGCCAGTTTGGCCGGTGATGCATGAACCAATCATGCAAATCATGTCAGAGACGCTCTGGGTCGTTTGTCCCCTCCGTCCTACATTTCACATGAACACTACACTACGGGTGACGTTTTAGATACCTTTGGCAGCAGCACGCAGATACTGTACGCTTCGGTTTGCGGGTCCAATCAACGACGAGAGCGCGAAAACACAAACAAGAAATAGGAAATATCGGATGAGCAAAGAGGACTGAGCTGGACAGCGAAATAAGCTAAAATCAAATGCTGCGGTGGTTAGGACAGACGTCAGGATCAGGAAGAGGTGAGAAGAGGAAGGAGGCAGAACATGAAAATGTTGACAGAGCGTGCGAAACAAAGAGAAGGAAGTTTAATTGTAAATGGCAGACAGGTCGTCATTGGCTAGTGTTTGATAGTAAAAATGCGGTCATGTTTTGTCAGATTTGCCGTGAGTACACGAAAGAAAAAAATAAAACTAACAGTTTCGTGGTGGGGATGTATAATTAAGTTTATAACAGTTTATAACTGTATAGTTTGTTGTGTGTATTGCACTTTCTGTGCGTTTTTCATGCACTGTTAATAAAATGATCAAATTTTCATTCAGTGGCATTCATAATCTCTTATTTTCACCACGTAAAAATTTGTCTAATGGAAATTCTGATTGGCTGGTAACTTCAGAAAGTTACCAGCCACTTTGGCTGGTGATCAAAAAAGTTGATTTCGAACCCTGGTGAGGAGAATAGCTGTCAAGAAGTGAACTAGGCATAAGTACATCTAGGCTGAGCTTTCAGTGAATGCCCAGGTACAGGTATAAGCAGTACTGGAGCAGGATCTACACAGCTTCTAACAAAGCAAGAACCTAATAAATAGAGCTCATTGATTTCTATTCTTTGAAGGTGACGGAATCTGCCAAGGTCATCATGGATGCAGGGGAGGAACTTCCCCTACAACTACTGGGCATGCTGGTGAAGTTTCTCCTGCTGGATATGAAGGGCAAAGATTTGCAGAGAAGGTTGGCTGAGGAGAAGGTAACCACTGCTGCTGATAGAAGGCTAATGTCTGCTGCTTACAACTAGCAGCAGCTTACTGCTAGCTGAGGCTAAGACAAGCTTATAACTAGAGCAAGTAAACAGTTCTTGTTTACAGCTACCCCTGTTTAGCCCTCCTGTTTACAGGTAGCAGAGGCTAGGTGTAGGTTGAAGTACTGTTGGGTACTTCACAGGGCTGTAACAATACACATATTGGTCATATGCTGTTCGGTTACATTATCTTTGGTTCAGAATGCACTCTGAAAATAATGAATACACATCTTGACACTGGCGGAACCTATGAATTAGATGATCGACATGGAAAAAATTATGCTAATTGTGCCTGTGATTTGGTTACGATGCTGGTTGCAGGTCATATTTGCCAAGTTAGTCTTCTCTGTCTCTACATTGCTATATGGTGGTTGTCATTGCAGATTGGGAATAGGTGATAGCACTGATTATCTTTTCAATCCGATACCAAGTAATATTAAGGTTGCTACTGTCAATACCAGTTCTGATACCGATATACTGTGCCAGCCCATCCCTAATGATAAAATTTGCTTTTTGAGTTTGGGGGCTGCTGATTGTTTCTTCATTCTTCCCTGCATTTCTTTTTCTGCTGTACCAAAATTACACCAATCTGTGAACCCAAAACCTAGGTGTGTATCAAACTGTGAATTTTCTATACCATTAAGGTTGGTTCACTAAGGTTGGTTCATGCGCCTCTGCGGAAGAATGCCTGCTGCACTCCAAATTTGCGTCCACTTTTTAAATATCAACATGAATGCTTTTGACGAGGGTTGAGGTAGTATGCAAACCCAAAAGACTATTTACAAGTTAATACAACTGTTAACTTCATGTAAATGTGAGTGTATCTGAGTGCAAATCTCTCGCCAGCCAGCTGACCAAAGATGGCAACCCTGTGAGCTGACTCTCTGAATTTGCAAAACTTAGAGAAACGAACACAAACATCACTGCTGTGGTACATCTGCAAGGAATATCAGTAATATTTGACATTACTATTCATAAGAATATAAATACTGCACATTGTACGCATGTGCAAAGTTCGCAGCTTGACCTGAGAACTATGAACGTTTCCGTGTACGCATACGCAGAGTGGGTACGCGAGTGGAGAAGTGTGAACCAGCCATTACACCCCTAGTACTACAGCAAGGACCACCTTGAGACTTCAATTAGAGCTTTTAAGTCATAACCATGGCTGCAGCTCCTATGTTTATGTTATGTGTATTTGTGTGGTATATTTGTTGCTTGTATTTCTCTTAGTGCATAACTTTGTGCTTGTGTGCAACTTTAGTAGGCTGGGTTTGAGTATGTGGGCTTGTCTGTGAGAGTGTGTGTGTATGGGAGTGTACAAGAGGGCTAGAAAGATGTGAGCAATTTAATGACGTTGTTAAGTATTATATTTTCCATTACTATTAATAAAATGTCTTAGAGTTCCTCAAAGCCTGTAAATGTTTCACAGCAGCCAGAGATGAAAAAAATAAATGGTTTCCTGATAAATGACATGATTAATGTGGCTGTGAAAGTTGAGGCTAATTAAAACCCCTATAAATGGTATAGAGTAACAAAATGCCATTAAATTCACTGCGGTCGACCATGCTCAGGGAAACAGATTGCACTATACATGAATTCCTCACATGGCAGAAATGTCTGCTTGTCTTACCTATGGCTCGGTCAATCATAAAAATTGTTTCAGGGCTGTGAAACTCAGTGACTGTCTCTATGAAATGCCAGCTCTGACTCTAGGTCTTATGCTTGATCTGTGACAGCAAGTCACTACACATCTGTATGCTAATATCCAGGCAGAAATTTGTTTTATTAACTGAAGTATAAGAGCAGGAATTATTACTTATTCTGGTATGTGGTGAGAAATGTTCTTACTAACTTGTGACACTTAGAAGTAACTTTGTCTAATGGCTAAACTTTTCCCTTAAAACATTACTGCAATGTGATAGTGACAAAATTCTAGTGGCTGAGCATTTATGTTGGCAACTTTGTCCAAAAAAAGTCTGTGAACAATGACATGGTAGATTGTATATGGGACACACCAGCCCTTGCGTGTTTCTACTTCTGTTCTGTTTATCTTGCTGTATTCGCTGGATTCGATAAATGAACATGGAATTGCCTCTGGCATTATTTGTCCCTCTTTTCCAGGCTGTAGACGAAACATCCAGAGTTAAGACTGGAACTCCAGCCAGGGACAAGGGGGGTGCTGCCATGAAGGCCCCCATCAAAGGCGATAAGGGAAAGAAAGCTGCCGAAGTTCCAATGCCAGCCAAGCAGACCAAACTTAAGCGTAGAGGCCAAGAGATTGGCAAGTACATTGCTGCCAGACTTTACTGTTGAGTGTCATGCTCCCTTTACAGTTCACTTGGTAACACTTTACTTGTCGGGGCACAAATACTTAGTAATAACTTCAGTTACTACTGAAGAACAACTCATGAACAAATATAGTCACTACTTGAGATAAAAGATGCTTCTGATTCTTTAATGACGACTAAACCTCAGTATTTCACTTGTATTATTCATGACTTGTTCCTTCAGTAGTTTCTTCAATAGTTCACAAAGGTTTATAGAATTAACAGATATAAGTAACAAATACAGATGCTCCTCTACTTACGAACTTTCAACTTACGAACTTTCAGACATATGAACGAAGAGCACTGTATGTCCAAATTGTGTTCATCGGGCTCCCGTTTCCTGTCCGCAACATCAATTGTTTTTTTCTGCATGCCTATTCCGCCTAGTATGACTTCTGGCCGCTACTCCCGTCGTGCAGCAGCGTAGTGTGCGTACTCCCAGCATCCTAGTTCTTAGTACTTGCGTAAACCCTTAAAATTATGTTGAATAACAACTTACAAACATTTCAAGTTACGAACTGCCGTTCGGAATGTATCTCGTTCGTAAGTAGAGGAGCGTCTATATAATAACTGCTTTAGGTAAAACATGCATATGATTCATGATGAATTAACATGAGATCAGTATATTCCTCAGACTTAGTTTTGGTTAATTAATATACAAGTAATAGTATAATGCTATATTATTAGTGTCCCATCAAGTTAAGTATTACTCTTGGGATAAAATTTGCATCATGATTCCTTAATAATGAACAAACATGAGATGAGATCAATATTTAACTTGTGTTATTCATGACTTGTTCCTTAGTAGTTCCTTTAGTAATTTACAAAGGTTTACAGAATTAACAGATACAGTAACAAATATAATAACTGCTTGAGATAAAACATGCTTCACAATTCACTGATGATGAATTAACATGAGATCAGTATGTAACCAAAACTTAGTTTGTGGTTAAGCAATCCATAAGTAATAGCAAAATGCTATAGTATTTGTGCTCTGTCAAAGTAAAGCGTTACCATTTACATTTTTCCCTAAAGTTATCTACATAAGTACAGTTTCAGTTGGTTCCTGTGTATATAACTGGGGTTTTTTAATGAAGCAGCTGAGTTGAGCTTCTTTTTAAAGTTGAACCTGTGTTATTGTATACTGCTTAACCTCTGCTTCACCTGCTGTTTTTGTGTGGCCAACGCCAACTTTAAAACTTGTGTTGATGTTCACCCTTCTGGTATTCTAGATGACGAGCCTGATGATGGTCCTCAGCTCTATATCCTCCTGCTGGGCTTCTACCAGCCACAGCTCTTATCAGTGCTGGACTCGCTGGGTGTTCATGTCTCCAGCATCATACGACTGAGCTCCAAGGCCCCTGAACTGTCCCAAGGTCATGGCACTTTCTCGGCTGGAGATGAAGGTCAGATCATGTGGTTGGACCTCCCTTCCTATATGTGTAGCCTGTTCAACAGGAGTCCTCCCAGTGCAATTTTTGGCCCTCATGACAGGTTCTGTGCTAAGTAGAGTGGATGCTCTGCATCAGTGCTGTCAAGTCCTTCCCCACAGCTGGCAGAGGGCCTGTAGAGGTTGTGTTGATTTGGGGCACTTTTCCACTGCACTAGGTACCGTTTTCTTGGTACTTTAAGAAAATACCAAAAATACGGTACTTCAAGGTGTTGGTTTTCCATTTGCGTAAAAACTGGTACTGCCGCTGAATGCCATTACATTACCAGGTGGGGTTTTTTCTACTGAATTCAAAAAATGATAGTATACCATAGGGCTGGACAATGTGTGATATTGATACCAACATTGCACGTTATGCACATGTAGTTCACACATCGCAAGGACCGGACATTACAGCGTGGGGGGTCTAAGTTACACTAAAACATTTTTACTTTGTCATAGGAAACATAACTTAGCAAGAATTGCAATTTTAATGATTGTTCTTTTTCAATATTATCTAGTATACATTCATCAGTTTACCGCCACTGCTTTTGCATGTGCTTTCAGAGCCGTTCATGATCATTTGCATCCTTGCAGTTTAAATCACTCAGACGGGTTTGTGAGAAATTTATTTTTTAACTTATTTTTGCTTTATTAATATTCTAATATTTATTACAACAACTTTACACTATTTGAATTTTTTATACTGTATATTGTGTAGCCCTAGTATATTATAGTAATTACTTTTTATTTCTTTTCATGCCATTTAGCTCATCTTCTGGATCTTCTGACCAGATCACAATTAAAGCCTGGGTCTCTTTATTTCTTTCTTTATTTATTTACGCCTGTATAATTTTTTTTTTTTACTTTATCATTGTTTTCTGAGTTTGTAACTTTTTTCAAGATGGCAAAAAAATTCAGATCCAGGCTGTTTACATAACCAATCGACAATGAAAACATTTTCCCATCCCAAAGTACCAAAAAAGTCCTCCAAATGGTTTGGTCCTTTGGGTAGTGGAACCTTTGGTAGTGGAACTTGACCTGAAGTCAGTGGAAAAGGGAAGGTACTGAAAGGCACCCTAATTGTATTCTCTGGGTGGGGAATACATATAGTTTTGGGACCACTTCACTGCTGCTACAGACACCTTCTCATTAATGCGATAACTCAAAAGCATTTGTCGGATCTTTCTCAAACTTTGCAAACAGTCCATGGGTGCTGAATTGGAACTATTCAAATTTTCAGACAAATCATCCCAAAATTTAAGCAATGTTCCACAGTGACATCAATGGGAAGGTTGAAAGCAGATGACTTTTGATCTTGTGAATGTGATAAGTAAAAAATTGATAGATCTTTTTCCTGCTTCACAAAAACATTATATGTCTATATGGAACATCTAAACCTTCTTTAATTTTGAGGCAAATTAAAACAAAGCAAAGGAAGGAAATTGAGACTGTAAAGACACTTGGTCTTGTAAAAACAGTAACTATAAAAGGTGATCTTAGAAGAAAATCACAGAGGGGTCTTTTTGTCTGTTTGGGTGTCTTTGGTTGGGGAGTGTGGGTGTATTAGGGATTAGATGGGGAGAGGGGAGTTATGGGGTTGTTTCGACAGCATCCATTCGAGTTAAAATTCTGATTTAAATGTAAGGTAACATCACCTTTGATTTGCTGGTGTAAATAATTTGCTGATTGTGACACTCTGTAAGAGAAAGATGGCTTTTACCCAGTAAACCAGAACTTTTTACTGTCACACTGATCAAATGTTTTGTTATTAATGGAATGAAGATCTGCAGTCATCATAGGGTGTGACTAGATACCACTGATCTATTGAACAGCTTCCATCAAGGGCCAATTCTTATTCAAGGCCAGGAGACTTGGGTCTCTACATGTACACTACGTATGTGCTGACAATGCACTACTTCATACTGGAACTCTATCACTGATAATGTTGCGTAGTAATGAAAATGTTACAAACTATGGCTAATAAAAGTAGTGTGAATGATGCAGGGTAATAAAAGGTGTGTAACTCTTCCCTCAAATGCAGCTATGGAGGTCCAGAATCACAAGAGGCAGAAGCAGATTGACACATTCTGGGCAAACCTACAGGCAGGGCTAAACAGTGGCCTGCCCCGGTCCAGACTGTTCGACGTGGCCCAGCTGTATTACACACTGAAGGATGACGTGGTTCCCCTGGACAGACAAGATCACGGAGCCATGGTGACTCTTTATAAGTCTGGGTAGAGTGACTCTGTATAAAGTGACCCCCCTAAGTGTTCTAAAACCAGGTCTCTCTCCACTGTGTGCCAGCTGGCCTTGGGGACAGGTGTCTTCACAGGTGTGGCATCCCTCCTCTATGACCTCCTGGAGAAGAGGAAGCAGCATCTGTACTACCTGGACAAGCTGAGGTTCATCAGGGTTCCCAGTCTGGCCAGCATGGAGCCACAGGGCACTGGCTTAGAGAGCCTGGTACAGAAAGCATACACACATCCCTCTGTCTTTCAGCTCCTTCTTTCTCTCCATCTCTTCACGTTTGCACTGCCAGTTCATGTTAATGTTTACGAACCATACACCAAGTCCCATATTATACATAATACTTACAAAATATTGAAACAATAAAAATGCTCATAAAGAACAAACCACATGGTAGCATTCAGTGTGGTGCTCATTTGCCAGTGCCTTTTCCTTACCAAAAAGCACTGGTCATTTTTCATTTCTCGATATGTTTGAAATTTTGGGAAATATTTTGGTCCCTATACCAGCTCAGTTATGTTTGAAAAATAACCCTTCATACCACATTCAGAAGCATTTTGTTTTCATAAACATGACCATGGGTGCAGTTCATTAAGGAGGTTTAGATTTACTGTGTTCAAAATGCCACACACACTTTCTAAGAGGTACTGCTTACACAGATGCCTGATTAGTTGTTGGGATTGAATTCATCCTGACTTTTAAATATGGAACTTACTAGTTCTTGGATCTAGATGTCAGGTAAAAAGCTCAAACTGTAAATGTAAAATACATGTACTGTGTTCAGTAGTTTATGTTGCCCTGTTTAGTTAGATTTCAGATGCTATCTGGAGAAGCCCATCCCTTTAAGCAAAGCTGAGACTGGCCACATTACTGTAAAATATCATGGTGCCATTTTAGTAAACATTAACACTAGTCATGGATGAGTCTACATCTTCCTCAACAGATTGCTAAAACAGGCAGTTGCATCATAGACACACCATGCCCCTTTGTGGGTACAGCCAGTAGTCAGTGTGGTTTTTCTTTTAAAATATTATGCTACAAGGCCTCCTTATTCTGCACATTATACCCTGGGGATAATCGTTGGGGGGGGACTCAGCCTATCCCATTTTACAGTCGTGGCCAAAAGTTTTGAGAATGACACAAGTATTGATTTTCACAAAGTTTGCTTATCACATGTTTCTATGGTATACTGAAATATAATTACAAGCATGTCATAAGTGTCAAGGGCTTTTATTAACAATTACATTAAGTTTATGCAAAGAGTTAATATTTGCAGTGTTGGCCCTTCTTTTTCGAGACCTCTGCAATTCGCCTTCGCCAGCATGTCAATCAGCTTCTGGGTCAAATCCTGACTGATGGCAGCCCATTCTCCCATAATCAGTGCTTGTAGTTTGTCAGAATTTGTGGCTTTTTGTTTGTCCATCTGCCTCTTGAGGATTGACCACAAGTTCTGAATGGTATTAAGGTCTGGGGAGAATGGACTCAAAATGTTGATGTTTTGTTCCCCGAGCCACTTAGTTATCATTTTTGCCTTATTCCCGGTGCGCCATCATGCTGGAAAAGGCATTGTTCATCATCAAACTCTTCTTGGATGGTTGGGAGAAGTTGCTGTTGAAAGATGATTTGGTATCATTCTTTATTTTCTTTATTCATGGCTGTGTTCTTAGGCCCACTCCCTTGGCTGAGAAGCAACCCCACATATGAATGGTCTCAGGATGCTTTACTGTTGGCATGACTCAGGACTGATACTAGCACACACCTTTTCTTCTATGGACAATCTTTTTTTCCAAATGCCCCAAAGAATCGGAAAGGGAATTCATCAGAGATTCAGCAGTCCAATCCCTGTACCTTTTGCAGAATCCTCCAAAAGTCTTCGCCTCACTGTGCGTGCAGATTCACTCACACCTGCTTGCTGCCATTCCTGAGCAAACTCTGCACTGGTGATGCCCCAATCCCGCAGCTGAATCAACTTTAGGAGACGGTCCTGACACTTGCTGGACTTTCTTGAGCTCCCTGAAGCCTTCTTCACAGCAATTGAACCTCTCTCCAAGTTCTTGATGATACGATAAATGGTTGATTTAGGTGCAATCTTACTAGCAGTAATATTCTTGCCTGTGAAGCCCTTTTTGTGCAAAGCAATGATGACTGTACATGTTTCCTTGCAGGTAACCATGGTTAACAGAGGAAGAACAATGATTTCAAGCACCACCCTCCTTTTAAAGCATCCAGTCTGCTATTCTAACTCAAACATCATGATCTCCAGCCTTTGTTACCTGTGTTAATGAGAGAATCATTGAAATGATGTCAGCAGATCCTTTTTTGGCAAGGCTGAAACGCAGTGGAAATGGGTTTTTTGGGATTAAGTTCATTTTCATGACAAAGAGGGACTTGCAGTTCATCTGATCTCTCTTCATAACATTCTGAAGTATATGCAAACTGCCATCATAAAAACTGAGGCAGCAAACGTTTGGCCACGACTGTACACAATGTGTCGTTCACTCAGCTACTTAACCGTTTGATAATTTTAATTTTTTGAAGATATAGTCATTTCCACTGCTTAAAATAGTAAGAGAGCAATGTGTGGCTCAGGTTTGGAGTGATTTCACTGTTGGGCCCTTAACCATAAATTGCTCCTGGCTGATCCTAATTTATCAATTGTAGGTTACTTTGGGTAAGAGCGCCTGTGGAATAAATAAATGTAATTGTTTGAGATCAGGATTTCTGATTATTTTCATACATAGTTTTCTTTAGGTTAAATTGTCCTTTCTTTCAAATACATCCAGATAACTGTCCCGGTACCTCAAGTGTTGTCATCGACAAAGAAGTGCATTCCTGAGGAACTACCTCATGCCACTACAGGTAAACCCAGTAAAAACCCATTTAAATAGAGAGCTCTTGATACAATGGTAGATAGATCATTCATTCAGTTTCATTCTACATGAATGGCCCCATTGCCAACAGGGGTGGACACACAGTACTACTGCGCCCTTCTGGAGTCCATCCCCCCCGAGGCCCAGTCTGTACCCCTGCTTCTGCACTGCATGCTGGAACAGGTACTGGTCTGGAAACCCAGGGCTGGTCTTTCAGGCCCTCAGCCAATGTGGGAACCCAGGGCTAGTTTTTTGAGTCCCCAACTGCAGTGGAAATCTAGGGCTTGTGTTTCGGGCCCCCAGCCACTGTGGGAACCCAGGGCTGGTTTTTTTGGGCCCCCAGCTGCTGTGGAACCCAGACCTGGTCTTTTGGGCCCCTAACTGCTGCAGGCCTGCTTCACGTTGGGCAGAGATGGGACTTACCAGGTGCCTTGTGTCCAGGTGGTGGCAATGCAGGAGGGGATTTTGCTGACCGACAGGACTGAGGCCAAGCAACGTGCAAAAGGGCAGGACATCCTGAACACAAAGGTATTGGCTTTCCAGACCTGCTCGCTTGCTATGACTGTGTGTGGCTGCCTGGTATGCAGAGCCAGAGCATACAGGCATAGATGCAGCCTTCACGCTCACAGTTGGCTGGTGGTATGCATATTGAGCTTTTATGTATATCACTGGCTTTAAATGTACTGTGGTAACTGCTCCTCCATACAGATTTGCATGTTTTCTGTGGGGGTGGGGGTGTTGCCATAATGATAAAATTGTGCTCCATGAATTCTTGGTAGCAGCCAAAGGAGAATTTTGGGGACATGATGCTGGAGCAGGAGGGGAAGACACCTTTGCTGCTGAACTATCACGATGACAGGAGTAAAAGGCTGCACTATGTCCCTGTAAGAGACGTACCCTTGCCTCTGTGTCTCTCTGCTCCTGTGTGATTGTCACCTCTTTCAGCAACATAAACATGAGTGGCAGGACAATTCCCCTGTCCTCTCTGACCAGATTTGGCAGTCTGAGCTTATGAGTATTTTTTTGTTAGTGCATTTCAGCATGCTTTGCCGGAGTGGTTTAAAGCACCATTTGAATGTGTGCAGCACTGGCGGACTAAGGGGGTACGGGGGGGGGGGGGGGGGCATCTGCCCCCCTGCTGCCCCAGAGTGCCCTGTTGACTGCCCTTCATAAATTAATTATCTTTTTTCTCGTGGCCTGATCATGCATTTCCACTCCTGCCACGGCTGCTCTGTCACTGTAGGTACAGTATGGCATGGATGCCATGAAGGTGGAGGCCATGATGCTGCAGAACATGCCGCTGTTTAAGCTCCTCCACTCAGGTCGTCCTCCGGTAGATGACCATCTCTGGCTGGCCAGACTGCAGGAGCTCATGTGCTTCTGCTGTGACAGTAAGGGGAGGGAGTTCTGCTACATTCTGCAAAAATCAAGCATTCTTGTGACAGGTCAGGCCAATGCTATTGTGCAGAAAGAACAGCCACACAGCATGAGTCTGTAAGATGGCCAACAAAACTATGTGAGGAGGGAGGGGGCATAGGAGGGTCGGGGTCCTAGTGAGCATCCTCGGGCTAAGGGAACAAAATCACATAAAGCAGTTTGATGTAATAATTTGAATGAATGTACTTGACACCTGCATTTTCCCCACCAACCAGTGCTCTTCTCAGAGCCAAATAATGCCAAAAGAACTGCTAATGAAAGTGAGTAATTACACTACCCATCCAAAAAAAAAGTCGCCATTTGAATTTATATCAGCAAATACTTGAAAGCCAATGACTAGATCATTATTACAGCTCAGCTACATTATGCAGCAATAAAGTAAAGTCAGCTGATTACTTGAATCTACTGAATGGCCAGGTTACACCTCCATCCATCATAAATGGATTTTTTCTTCCCTGTTGGCATGGGCATATTCCAGGACAAGAATGCCAAGATTCAATGGGCTCAAATTGTCAAAGAGTGGTTCAGGGAGCATGAGGAATCATTTTCATACGTGACTTGGTCACCACAGAGTTGTGACCTTAACCTCATTGAAGGTCTTTGGGATGTGCTGAAGGAGGCTTTATGGAGTGGTTCAACTCACTTGTCAATACATGATCTTGGTGAGAAATGAATGCAAATCTGGATGAAAATAAAGGATGAGATGTTGCATAAGCTTGTGGAAACAATGCCATGACAAATATGCACCATAATCAAAGCTAAAGGTGGCCCAACAAAAAATTCAAATGGTGACTTTTTTTGGACGGGCAGTGTATTTAATGAAACAGAAGAACCTTTGAAATCGAATGAACTAAAGTGAAACTGAAAAGGCAACTCTAGCAGACATTCTTCAGTTAACCTGAAAGGCTTGAATTCAATAAAAATTAATATTTAATTTTCACAGATAAAATCAAGAATAACAAAGCACAACAAACTGATAAGTGAAAGAAATATGAACAGTTGTAGTGCAGTTTTTTCTACTCTGATATGAGATGATTAGTGATATTTGGACTGCGTCTGCCCCCCTGGCAGAGCCCCTGAACTGGCTGGAGGTGGAGCGAGCACTCCTTCAGTTTGTGTTTGAGAGCATGCCGCTCACAGAAACGGACCAGGATGGCCTTCTGCTTCAAACCAGGCCTCCAGAATCAGGCCCCAGCCCCTGGGATGACCCCATCTCCTTCTCCCAGGGCCTTGGTCAGGACCGCCTTTGAGTGTCTGTTGTATTCTATAACTCTTGTATAGACAAAACAAGGCTATCTGCTCTTTCCTTTTTTCACAGAGCTTCTCCATGTCAGACCAGGCACATCAGAAGCAGGCGAGGTACTTACTCTGTTGAAACCTTTTGACCATAATCTTGCCTGTAATTGCGATCACTGTGCAAAGTCAAGTTTTGTCTCTGTTAAGTGGTTTCCGTTTGCTTGGTTGACTGGGGTAGCTGATCCAGATCAGCGAGGAGACGATCCGGAAAGTTCAGCGGCGCCGCCTCACGGCCTTGCATTATGCTGAGTGCCACAGTGCTGCTGTGTTGGCTCAGGTACTCAATGATATGGGACCAGTGCCTCATATTGTCATGTTCCATTCATTCATCCTCCAACTCCTCAGTAAATGAGTTATTATCAATTAACCTTGACAGGGTTGGGGGCAGCATAGACCACAGATAAAGGTAAAACTTGGATGGGATGTCACTCCATCACAGCGCTCACACACACACCCTCACATGCTGCAGACAGTTTTGTATGCCAATTAGCCAATTAGTCCCCCCCCTCTTTGGAATGCAGGGAGGAAGCGGAGTACCGGGAGGAGACCTGCACAGCACAACGACAGCATGCACACTACATATTCGCACAGAACAGAGGCGAAATTCCAACCCCCAACTCCAGAGAAGCAAGGCAGCTTGTTTGAACAGTAATCTGGGATTTCTTTTACCAGGTTCTCCATGATGCCTCACACACTTACTGCTGCATGGACACCTTCCGCCGTCAACTGGACAGATCCCTTTGTATCGTGTGTCACAACCCTGTGGGCCCAGAGCGGCAGAGCAGGGAAGTGTGGAACACAAGGCTTCATACAGACGTGGGCTTCAGGTGCATGGCCAAAATGATGCAGAGGACCAGCACTGCTATTACTGTTGTCGATTGTTAAAAAGGAAATATGTCGATAATGCTTACATGAGTTACAAACATGCTTAAACTAGTCTGTTCCCAAGCATGAAAAGTCCAAAGCTGAAGTGGTGAAGTCATTGATGGTGTATGTTTGCCTGCTTTTCAGGAGGTACCTGGAGCATGTGGCTGACGCTGTTTCAGACTGGATGCATCAGGAGGAGAGGAACTGGAAAGGTATTGGGGAGCAGCGGGGTAGAGAGAGCCTATGTGAGCCCCCTGTGTCGGGACAAGTGTGGCCCCAGGAGAAGAGCATGTCCCCCAGCAGCACGGGAGGTAAGGGCTTGCAGTGTGACTACACAATACCTTGGGCATGCTTTTAAAGATTCCACTTTTTAAATGCATTACAGTATGGATACTGTCACGATCCGCTCCGTCCGATCCTAATGTGTGCCACGCCCACCTCATTACCTCGTGTTCATCCCTGATTGTTCTCACCTGTGGCTCGTTACCCTTAGCTTGTCTTTTGTATTTAATCCCTGTCTGAGTTAGTCTTCCCAGATCAGTCATTGATGTTAGCTGTCGTGTTTCCCCGGTCCTGTCTGTCTGCAGTAAATCCCTGGTTATACCCTGCTTCCTGGCTCCAATAGCCTGCTTTCCGGCTCGCTTGCCCCGCACCCTGACAGATACCAGTTTTGGAAAACCTTTGCTTTCAAATTATTCTTTTTGTGTTTTTTTTTTTTTGGACTGGATAAGATTTGTTTGAATTATGTAATACCTGTAAGTGAATACATATTGTGGCGTTATTTTTAGCTCTGTCTAATTCTGTGTGGTCAAGGTTCACTGAAGCCCCTGGAAGATGTGGTGATGGACCCATACGTACGGAAAGACTCCCTGAAGGTGAGAGCCAGGAGTCTGTCTGCCATATTGGAGTAAATGACATGATGCCTGTTCTTTACATTTAATCACAGATCCTGCTTTTTCCAGCATTTCAAAGGTGTGTGTTTCTTGTGTGTGTGTGTGTGTGTGTGTGTGTGATGTATACATTACATTGTGGGGAGCAAATGTTAAAAGTCTTCTATTTCGTTCGGTTACTTGTGCTTATGGTTAGGGGGTGCCCTGTAATTTATGACCTGTGTAGCCTTCATGTCCTGTGATTTTGGGAATGGACTCCCGGATCACCACCAATATTCAAAATGAATGAATAGATGTAATAATTTTTTTATTACTATTAATATGTTTTTTCTATTTTGCAAACTATGTAACTTAAGGCATGGAAAATTGCGCAGGACAAACTGAAAGAAGAGGAACCCACCAATACAGTCAAGAAAGACAAAGGGAAGAAGACCTCTTTAAAGGTGCAAGACCACTCAGAGACCTCAAATGGCAGCAAAGACACCCCCCTGCCCAGCCAGCAGAGCCTGGAAGAACTCCTGAAGACCCCTGAGCCTGCAGTGTGTTCCAGAGAGGGCAGCGAAGACATACATCTAGTCGAGGATGAGTTCATAGTGAGTTATACCGAAAAGTCAAAGCATGACTGGGGCAGTTCTGCAAATGTTACCATGATGCTGCTGATCAGTGTGGTTACACATGTCCAGCAGCTTCAGGCACAGTGCAGGCTATCTCATAACCATTGCTATAGTGAAAACGCGGTCTCAGTTCATTGTATTCTTGTGTCCAGTTTCTATAAATCTAGTGCACCTGTTCCTCTGACTCCGCTGCCCAGTTTCTAAAAATCTACTGGCCGTATGTTTTTGAAACCATTGTTCATGCTGAACCTTCTGCCCTAATACATGGCCTTTCTGTGGCTGGCAGGGATTCACCGGATACAGTATGAATGGGACTTTGGTCCATGTGTCAGGCCAGATTCAATCGCTGTTTCCTGCAGATGGAGGACACATCAGAGTGGAGACTGTGCACTTTGCAGAAGGTAAGCATGCATGTCAGAGTGGGGACTATACATTTTGTAGAAGATAAGTATTAGGGGTGCAAATCACAGCTTTCCTCGCGATACAATACGATATTGATTCCTTAAGCCAACGGTTCGATTTTTTTTGATACCTCAAAAATTCCCTCTATACGATACGATTCAGTTTGATACTGGGGTTAGTAGTTGAAATGATGAAATTTCACACAATCCTTTACATTTCAATGAATTAAAAAAGCCAAATATAATTAGCATTTCACCATATTTTATTGGGAACTGTAAACAAAATATAGTGTAGTCAAATATGTCCCATAAAACAAGCAAAATAAAGCGCAATAAGGTAAAAATAAAAAAACATTGCATGGACAGACATGTAGAATGAAAAAGATTAACATGACTGACTACTGCGGGGAATCAAGTATGTCAATAATCTTCTTTGAGAGGTTTTTTTAAGAAACATTAAATGGTCAACGTGTTCAGGAGATTGTGTGCTCTGAGCGTAGCGTCCTATGTTACCTGCGGTACTAAACACACTGAACGCTCTGAATACTCTGAAGGTATGCTAGCTTGCGAGCTACTTATAAATGACCAAGTCAAAATGATCTACCTACTATAAAAATGCAAAACATATATTTATGTATTTCTTTAATATTATTATTATTTATTATTATTACTATTATCCTAGAATAATATAATAGTATCAAGCATCTTAGGATGTATATGTAATCTAAAAAGGAACTCTGGGAGACCGAGGAAGGTCGGTGACGTTGGAAAGACAGTTGACCTCCAGGAAAGACTGGCATGGGTGTATGAGGCTAGCAACCTCATCCAAGGCACTCACAGGAGGGCTACGATCCACTACGGAAGGTATTACAGAGCAAAACCCCCAGAGTCTCCCGAGAGAGGGGAAGGATGAAAGACTCGATAGGACAGACACAATGGTTATGACCAGGAACGAACTACGGACACAGAGACGGCTCACCCAAACAACATTAACTGGGAAGGTATTGGAAGTAAAGTGTCATTACAGAAAGATCTGCAAGAACAAAAGAGGGCTTAAGATACACCAAAGCCGAACCAACTGTGGAAAAGAAAGGTATCATGGGTGCAGCGCACAGCGGTAGCACCTGGTGAGATGCAGGAGAACTGCAGGCAGGAAGCACCTCACAGCACTGGAGATCTCTCAGCACCTGTGTCACCTCAAGACCTCAGGAGGGACCCACCTGATGCCACCCCAGGGAGCCATCCCCACCCTGCGAGGGAACAAATTAAATGGCCCAAAATGAGCGACAACAAAGAATGGTACCAACTAGACCAAGATCTCGACAAAGTTCTGGAAGCCACACTAGCAGGGACAGCTGAGCAGTAAGTCAATGCTTTCATAACAAAAACCGACAACCTGGCAAGAGAGCGTTTTGGATTTGAGGAGAAGAAAGTCAACATTTAGTCTGCACACCAGCCAGAAGAGTGAGGGAAATCCACTGGCTGAGTGGAGAAATTAAGACTCTCAACAAACAGTTCAAAAGAGGCCCTGCTGATGAAAGGGAAGGCATCAAGGATCTGACGAGTCAACTCCGGGAGCACCTCTGCAGACTCCGAAGAACAGAAAGCAATCGGAAGAAGAGGAAGGATAGGGAGAACAAAAGATCCCAGTTCACCAAAGACCCCTTCCGATTCACCTGAACACTACTGGGTGAAGCAAAATCTGGGAGGCTGACCAGCCCCAGAGAAGATGTGGAGGCGTTCTTGAGAAAACCCACTATGACATATCCAGGAACCAGGCCCTGGATGCCAACCCAAGCATCAACAGCACAAAAATCCAGAAAGGTGGAATCCCAGGGTTCTCTGGATGCCTGGAATATACTGGAGTTCTCTGTCAGATGATCTGTGAGGATAAAGCCAGCAAAGGCAACTTGACTGTTGTCTGGCTGGATTTGGCCAATGCCTATGGATCAATCCCTCATGCCCTTATCAATGCAGCATTAGACCACTACCACATCCCTCAGCACATTAAGGAAATGATCACCAGCTACTTTGGAGGAATACAGTTACGTTTCAAGACAGCCCATTTTACAATTTGGTGGTAAAGACTGGAAAAGGGTATCATAACTGGCTGCACAATCTCCCCCATCCTCTTCATCATGGGAATGAACCTCCTAATAACAGCTGCGGAGAAGGAAGCTCGGGGTCCAAAAATGGAGTCAGGCATCCGACAACCCCCAATAAGAGGTTACATGGATGACCACAACCCATGTGGAGGTGACGTGGGTGCTAACTGTTCTGGACCACATGGCAACGTGGGCCAGATTGAAATTTAAGCCAAAGAAATCCAGAATTCTGGTGATCAGGAACGGGAAGGTGACCAACAGGTTTAAGCTGCGTGTGCAACAGGAAGTGATTCCAACGATAGAGGAGAATCCAATCAAGTGCCTCGGAAAGTGGTTTGATGACTCACTTACTGACAGGAATAACATCGCCAGTACGGAGAAGCAGATGGAGGAATGGCTGAGGAGGACTGAAAAATCAGGGCTCTCAGGGAAGTTTAAAGCATGGCTCTATCAACATGGACTGTTGCCAAGACTCATGTGCCTGTTGTATGAAGTCCCAATGACATGCGTTGAAGGACTGAAGAGGAAGATCAATAAGCACCTCTGTAAGTGGTTGGGAATCCCTCCAAGCTTCACAGCAGTTGGCCTTTACATGAGATCAGGGCAGCTCCAACTTCCTCTGTCATCTGTGATGGAGGAATTCAAAGTTGCAAAGTGCAGAGTCGTAATGGGGAAGATGGTGGCACAGGAGGTAGTGCTATCGTTCGGCAACTGGAGGGTTACAGGTTCAAGCCCTAGTTCCTCCTGACCCCATCAAAGTGTCCTTGAGCAAGACAATTAATCCCAAGTTGCTCCCGGTGTGCAGGTTGGCACCTTGCATGGCAGCCTTCGCCACTGGTGTGTGGATGTGTCTGTGGATGGGTGAATGTGAGGCATAAATTGTAAAGCGCTTTGAGTACTCGTAGGAGTAGAAAAGCGCTATATAAATGCAGTCCATTTACCATTTAATGACATATAGAGACTCCCAGGATGAACAAGTCAGACATGCAGGTGTCATCACAAGATCAGGACACAAGTGGGCAGCTGACTCTTCTGAGAGCATGCTGAAACTACGTGACGATATTGGAGCGCCATGCACAGGAAGACTGGGACTTGGAACCTCCCATTTCCAACAGTGGAGGAAGGAAGGAACAAGTTACAGAAGAGCCATGTTTCAAGAGGTGGTACGGAACCTGGAAGAGGAAGGACGAAGGTCAAGGGCAGTAGAGCTAGCTTCCCAAAGAGCCTAGACCAAATGGTACCTTCCCAAGAGGAAAATCACCTGGGTGGACCTATGGAGACTGGAGCCATTCCGCATCTCCTTCCTGCTGAGGTCGGTGTACTGTATGACACACTCCCAACCCCAACAAACTTGCACAAGTGGGTCATGAGAGAGGACCCATTGTGCAAGCTGTGTGGGGAGAAAAGCACCATGGTGCACATCCTGTCCAGGTGTAAAACAGCACTCACCCAAGGAAGGTATAGGTGGCACCACGACAAGGTGCTCATGACACTCGCTAACACCATAGAGCAGGAGAGAAGAAAGAAACGCCAACACTCCAGAAAATAACATCAATCCAGTTTGTAAGGGAGGGGGAGAAGCCGCCAACCACCGTGACAACAAGAACTAGTCTGCTACAAAAGGCCCAATCATGGGAAATGAAGGTTGACCTGGGAGAAAGGCTGCAGTTCCCCCATATTGTCCAGACAACCCTGAGGCTGGATGTGGTACTGTGGTCTGGAGAGGCAAAAAAAATCATCCTCATAGAACTTACGGTCTCATGGGAAGAGGGGTATGAACAGGCCTTTGAAAGGAAGAGCACCAAATACCAAGACCTTCTGCAGGACTGCATGGAGAAGGGATGGCAGGCATGGCTATTCCCCGCTGAGGTCAGCTGTAGAGGATTCCCTGCGCAGTCAGTATGGAGAATGCCCACAGCCATAGGGATGACAGGGAAGGACAGAAAGACAGCAGCTCGCAGAATGGGGGAGGCGGCAGAAAGGGCCTCTTGCTGGTTATGGAGCAGGAGAGAGAAGGTAAGCTGGAAGCCAGGAGGGGAAGATGGGCAGTGACTTGGCCACCACTGCCAACCCACCATCAGGAGGGTGTTGTGGATAAAGGTCGAAACACCCAATGAACGATGGGTACCACCTGATGACATCAACCCCTCCTGGCCAAGGCTACATTCACTCAAGGTGAATTAAGGCAAGAAGCATCTTAGGATGTATATGTAATCTATTATTAATTTCCCTTTGGGATAAATTTTTATTTTTGAATTGAACTGGGATTTTAGTTCCTTCACCTTTCTATTTCTCAATTTTCTCAGCTCGCTTTTCGGAGGGAAGTTAATGTCGTAGTTTTTTTATTAACAGTCTGAAAATGCCGATCCACATTTCCCTTCTTCGGAATAGCAATGGTAGGCTGACAGATGAGGCAAACGCACTTCGAATATGACATGGTGAAAAAAAACAGTCCTCCCATTCCGTATGGAAGTGGTAGGTTTTTGGCTTCTTACTTGGTCCAGCTCCTCCATTTTTATACCCTTTCTTAAATTTAGTAGAAATAAATTGGAGGCTATATAACTAGGCGACTCGGTAGCTTGCTAGAGATTTGCAGCAGTTGGCGCGGTTGAACGCGTCATCCATCCTCTATTTTTTTATGCCATACAATCTACCCACACTACCTTTGTGATCGACCAGTGGATCGCAATCGACATACTGTATTGGGCACCCCTGCTGTAGACCATGTATACGTCGGAGTGGATCATGAAAACAATACTGGAACAGGCGAGAAAAAAAAAACGCTTGTATTGACATTTATGCGGTCACGTCGATGCATCGGATTGTTTGCCGTTGAATCGATACATCGATACAAATCGATGTATTGTTACACCCCTAGTAAGCATGCACGTCAAAGTGGAAACTGTGCACTTTGTATAAGGTAAGCATTAGGGCTGGGTGATATCACATTGATATATCGTGCATGTGCATTAATCACCTGGTCTTCAGATGACAGGCGAAACATTTGGCCGGACACCAGCTTTTCGGTACTGTTGAGACATTTATTTGTGCCTACAATTTGTAAAGCAGATTAGTAGTATGGCTAAAATATTAATGAGATGCATTTTGTAATACCCAAAAGTTAGTAATCTGTATAAACTTGGCGTATCTTTATGTTTATTTAATTCGGTTAGCAGAGCACAGCACATAATTCTGTTTTGGTATACTATGATTTGGTATACTTCAGTGCAATATGCGATATGCACTGAAGTGGCGGTGAAGAAAGGAACAGCTCTGCAGCCACAAAGTCTTTTAAAAGAGGAGGTCTAGTGGATAGACAAGGTTAAAAGACATTAGTGGCGTGTCGGTACTTTTTGCAGTTTAGTCTGACACATTTATTAAACAAGGATATGCCAATTTTATTACTAGTTTTTGGGTGTCATAAAATGTCTCCATAAATATTGTAGGAGCACTACTAATCTGGTTAACAAGTTGTGAGTGTAAATAAATCCCTGTATGTCCGGCCAAAAGTTTCGCCTGTCATCTGAAGCCCTGGTGAGTATTGCGCATTCTTGACATAATATCGATGTGATATTGTCCAGCTCTAATAAGCATGCATGTCAGAGTGGGGACTGTGCACTTTGTATAGGGTAAGCACTGGGAATGTAACAGTACACGTATTCATACCGACAATGTTTGGTAGAGGACTTTAAGTTTGGTATGCTTAATTACAGCAAATGTGGAAGCATTGTGTGTTTCTGTGTTTCCCCGAGCAACATTCAAAAAAGGGGTAGGTGAAACAGCTCCACTATGCATGCGTGTATGTCCCAATGTGAAGCCGGAAGTTGTTAATGTGAATAAAAGTACAGCACAGGTATATTTTTAATGCTGTAGCATAATAGATATTTATTTTGTTATGCTTATTTTTTAGACAATATTTGTGTTACACAGTTTTAATATGAAACTGAAAGCTGAATACAGTACAGATCAGGTATAGTTAATTTTCTAAATGCGCATGATGATTAATAATGCACATGATAATGATCAATGATGTATGATTCCAATAATATTTTATTTACTTTTTTTTTACTTTACAATTTATTTTCTTGAGTTATATTTATTTTGATGTACTTCAAAGTACATTTTATTATTAGTATTGCAGCAGTATTGACAAAGACTTTTTGTCTAAGAAAGACAGTCATTCTTTGTTCAGTAAGCCACTGTTTAATAAAGAAAAAAAACCTATTTATGTTTTATTTTTTGTACCCCCGCTGTACCAAAATCATACTGAACCCTGACTTCAAAACCGAGATACATACCAAACCGAGATTCTTGTGTACTGTTACACCCCTAGCAAGCATGCATGTCGGAGTGCCGACTGCTCTTTGTAGGAGGTAAGCATGCACGTCAGAGTGGAGACTTGTGCATTTTATATAAGGTAAGCATGCATGTCAGAATGGGGGCTGTGCAATTTGCAATTTGCAAAGAGTGGGGACTGCAATTTTCAGAAGGTAAGTGTGCAGGTCAGAGTGGAGACTGTGCACTTTGTAGAAGGTAAGCATACACATCAGTGTGGAGCTGTGCAGTTTCCAGAAGGTAAGCATAGAGGTCAGAGTGGGAACAGTGCACTTTATTGAAGGTAAGCGTAGAGGTCAGAGTGGGGACTGTGCACTGTTTAGAAGGTAAGTGTGCATGCCAAAGTGGTGACTGTACTTCGTAGAAGGTCAATAGAATGGGAATTATGCATGTCTGAGTGGGGACTGTGCACTTTGCAGAAGGTAAGTGTGCAGGTCAGAGAGGAGACTATGCACTGTGTATAAGGTACGTGTGCATGCCAGAGTGGAGAATGTGCACTTTGTATAAGGTAATTATGCACATCAGAATGGGGACTGTGCACTTTGCTGAAGTTAAGTGTGCAGGTCAGAGTGGAGACTGTGCACTATGTAGAAAGTAAGCATGCACATCAGAGTGGAGAGAATACATACTGTATATAAAGATGTATACAGAGACATATGCGTGCACACACATGTGAAACACACACACACACTGATGCTGGCACTGGAACACACTCGCATTTCAAAACAGCACATGTGTACTCACACCGCCTCATGCAGGCGCTTATAGAAATTGCATCTTAAAATCTGCTGTTTAATTGTTCTCAGGTTTATGCTTGCAGACATTCATTTGGAGCTGATTATCTAGTGCTCAGCTGCATTTGCATCGATGAGCTGGGCATTTCTCTCTATAAATCAGCCTTTCAGAAACAGGATGGCGTTTTCCTTTGTCTGGAACCCTGAACCTGAGCTCTGAAGTAAAATGAGAAGAATACTTTTTTTGGTTGCTTTTGAAAGTTATTAATAGAGTCATCTTTTCAGCATAACTCACAGATCAAAGTGTCCCGGTTAGGCTGGCTAGGCCTCCCGGTATCTGAGGCAAGGATGCCCAGTTGGGCGGCCTTCTCGTCTGCCACATGCTCTTAAGGCTCCCAGAAACAGAGCATGCAAGCATGGGATTCATTTATCCATGTCATATGGCTTTCATTTTAATCAATACACATGTATTTTTCCTTGCACTCGTGGGAAACCCTGCTCTAGCTGTGACTGATATCGATTCTTCTTTCGACTGGAGGGTCTGTTAAAAGTTTTATGGGTTTCTCTCCTCAGTTTGGCATAGTAAATGAAATGGGGGAAAAAGAGTATTGGGCCTTTTATTTTTTTCTTGTGTTTCTGTAGACCTCATATAAAAAAGAAATGAAGCTTCTTGGCAGGCTAAGGAGAATATCAAGTACGCCTGTCGATATGAAACCAAAGAGCATTTCATTTGGTGAGGATAATTCAGATTTTACAGACGTCTGTGCAAAACACGGAGGGGAAAAATCAGATCTGGTAAAATGGGGTAATTCCACACTTTCTTTTCTTATGAAAAAACCAGCAAACATGAACACTTCTTCCAAGCTACACATGGTTCCGATTAGAATCCTGATTGGAATCAGAACCATACAAGAAGCTATCTCACGCTTAATGAATATTTATGAGCACCTGCAATCATTGAAGGTCTTTATGTTTAGCAAAATGGGGAGGGAACAGAGTGCCCAATACGGTGTGTCTGGATACTGTGGAGACTGATGCTTCTGCCTCAGGTTGGTTTGACCACACCATAGCAGAGATGGTGAGTTAAGTGACTTTTCAGCATGTAGCCAATGGCTTATCCCTGTCTCAGGTTCGACGTTTGTCCAGGTGAGCGTGACAAAGGACAATCATCACTTTGTCACCCACATTGCTGAGCCGAGGAGGAGCGCACAGTGGAGTAAGAAGAATACCATTTCCGGGGGTAGGACAGATGGGTATCCACTTTGTCGTGGTGTTGGCTAATGGCTAAAAATATTGTCTTGGGTGTCTATTAAATGGCAAATTCATTGTTGAAGAAAACCCTGAATGAAATTATTAAAAATATTTAAACTGGTAAAGTGATATATATTTTATGTGTTTGTCCTATCAGATAATAGTGAATGCAAGCAGAGTGTGAGCAAATTTGGGTCCTTCTCCACTCTGCTCAAAAGTGGCATCCGCCTCTCTTTCAGTCATCATGGCAGTTCCGGGAAGAGTCCAGGTCACACCCCCGTCCTCCTCATCCACCTCGCTTTGTTTGGTTGTCGGATTGTTGTTGTTTATTTGCCGATTAACCATTTTTTCTAATGATAGGTATGATAAATAACTAAGTGCAGTATATAATTTGTTCTGTAGGTGTGTGGCAACAGGCAATATGGTAAATAAGGACATAATCTCTGCATAGCATTGTTATTTATAGTCTCTGCATAGCATTGTAATTTAAAGTTGTTGTTAGTCTCTGCATAGCATTGTTTAAAGTTGTTCATAATGTGAAAGTTGGCTGAACTTGAGTTGTGAGGGAAGCCTTTAGTGTGGTATTGAGGTGTGTGATTAAATATAAAGTTTAAGTCAATTTGGATGGATCATTTAGAAACAAAATATTGTAACAAAATATTGCGAGGAAAATGTGGTGTAGTTTGTCCCATTAGTCTTTAGACACTGTCTATCTGACCCACATGAAAAAGGGGCTGCTTCCATTATTTGTCACTGTAACTTCAGTATAATCTGTACCTTTTTCAACAGATGAGAGGGACAGTTCCCTAGCCCCCCCTGCTGACTTGTCTTCCTCCACAGAAGAAGCCTTGAGAGCCGACAAACCTCTGGTAATATGCAGCAAAGCTAATGATAACAAACTGAACTGTTTAAAATCATATTAAAGTCACTGTGGAGCCTTTCACATGGTCACACCTCCATACAGTCTGGGTAAATGTGCCCTTGAGCTTATTACTGGCAGGTTTCTCATTCAGCTTCCTTAAGATAAGGAGCAGAGACTGTGTGATACTGTGGCACATTTCCTGCCAGCTGGGGACAATGAAAAACAACGGAATAATCTACATTAAATGTATAGCCTTCCACAGAATCTTTATTTTTGGGGGTGTATGCTCTGGCTGTGTCTCCATAGCAGTCCTCCAGGTTCCCAGACTGGTCTCCATTCCAGACCCTGGCCGTGTCTGTCCCCACTGGCCTTGTGCTGCGCTTCTTCAGTGAAGAGTCACCAGGTGAGTACAGCATTTTGGGCTGGGCATTGTGGGTATAGTTACAGTGACACTGCCCACCTGTGGTTTACAGCAGCTCCTGGGCAGGTGAAGGGCATGCTGGTAAGGCAGCATTTCCCACTGGGTGGCAGCGTGTCCCATTCTATGGAGGCCTCCAGAGCCATCAGCAGCCAGGGCACTGTGGTCAGATGCATGAGGAATGGATCCACACAGGTAGGGCTGAGCAGGCAACTGCAAAGACTCACACACAAACCAGTTATGTATGTATGTATGTATGGGACTCTCCACTTTCTGTTTTACTATCATAAGCGATGTATCATTGCTCTCTTTCTCCTTTCCTACCTTTCTTGTCCTGCCCTGCAGATCCTGTTTGCGGATGGTACAGTCAGCAGCAGCCCAGACTCTGTATCGGTCTGTCAGTCATTGCTAGGGCTGCCCACCTTAGACAAAGAGCAAGTGCAAGAGTGGAATCCAGAGGTCAAGGAGACCCTAGAGAAAAGTGGTGAGTCCATATTGCACCTCTTTCCTGGTTTGACACTTTTTTGTTATTGGTCCCAGTTTTTGGTCTCAGGTCTTTAAGCCCATTATTTGACTCAAGTATATTCCACACTTTCTCCAGTAAAAGCTTACTTTGACTAAGTGATAAAAGAACATGCTACATCCTTTGCTAGATTTATGAAGATATTTCACTTTTACAAAGACAAATGGATGCCTTGTGGGACTATGATAGCATATCGTGCTTTGGCTTCTGGGCACTCAAACATGTGGGCCACAGTTATTTTTTCCACTTATTTTAGACTGTTTGATGTTTTCATATCACTGGAGTATAACGTGCTGTTATTATAGTATTCCCAGCAGCGTCCGGCTCACTGTCCTGATTCTGAAACATTTCCACCACTAAATGGCCCTAAACCAGGCTGTCAGTCAGTCTAGTCAGTGTGAACGTCTATGGACATGTGTCAGCGATTTCTTCAGTGTGGCATAATCATGATTTAGAGGAACAGGGGAGAGATACTGAGAGAGAGATGGGAGAAAAAATGATTAAATGAAAAAAACATGAGTCTCAGCCCTTGGGTAGTTTGTGTTTCATGTACTGAAAGTTCACTCAGGATTAAATAGCCCCCTGGGGATAGCTAATCAGTCTGTGATAGACCTTTGTGATGGTCTTTATATTTGATATACTGATGTGAGGCTTGCATCCGGCAGTGTCCAGATGGCATTTTGGAGAACCCTGTCCCTCATCGCCTTTCCGTCTATTTCACTTGTACCTTTGGCTCGTTTTGCACCCTTTGCTGCCTGGGTAGGCTGCAGTGCTAGGCGATATGATATTATCGATAATCAAAGATATGAGACAAGTAACCCAGTCTCTAAGTCTGACTGACTAACCAGTGATTGTTGCCTTTGATTGGGAAATAGGCTTAGGCTACATACAAAGCAAGATCGCAGAAGGTATTATGATTTGGCTTTCAGTTCAGCCTTCTACCATATGTTTCCAATGGAGATTTTTTTAAAACATGGCAATTATAGTGCAGCGTTTCACAAGAATTGCCCATTGCAGTAATAGCGTGTCTGACATTCTTGTAAGTTGTGAAGTTCAGCATTGTCACATCACCAGCTTCTATATACCTGTCAGGAACTAGAATGCCAGCATTCATGTGCAACTTCCTGGTGGGAATTCCATCTTATGTGAATGATCGAACAAGACACACATTTACCACTTTTAATTCCCATTCAAGATAAAGAAATTGACAGCACTCTCAATAGCCTAGCCACAAATACCTTGTGTCTATTTATGGGAGGAACTGGTCTTCACAGGCGATAGCCAAAACTTGAAATAAAAAAAATACATTTTTGGATGAAGTAGGCTAGGCTATTAATTAGTTTTAAAAGCTTGTCATTTGTGGTGTACAGACCATCCCATACTGAAAAATAGGGCTGCACGATTTGGGGAAAATATCGAATCGCGATTTTTCTGACAGAACTTGTGATTACGATTTGATTTGTGATTTTAATTTTTTTAATGTCAAGCTTCAGTTCAATATTCAGTGTGTAGTAATTTTAAAACATATGACGTAGCATGAGATACCATCAGTATTAACTGGTCTATATTCTAATGCAAGGATGAGAATTTAAAGATGTGATGTGTCAAGTTAAATAATGCCACCAGTGCCTTTCCATATGTCCTCCTCTATCCTCTATCCACCTCTCTGGGCATAGACGGGTCATCAGCTGGGGACCACCAGTCAATAATGTAAAGTAATAATGAAAACAATTGCAGCAAAAGAAAAATAGCGATCTTGCAGGTAACGCTTATTACCCTCCTAATAACACTAGAACAGCCTTTTCCCACGCCAATGAACAAGCAAGAACTACTTCAGTGTATGCAGCCCTTTTGTTTGCGCTGTTGTGTTGTTAGCTGCTGTTATATTAACACTAATAACACTCAAAAAACCATAATGTTCATAATAGAGTGGCTGTTCTGTCCTGAAACCGTAAAGCTAGAAATTTTTAAACGTAGTATGCATTTTATAAAATGTTGAATAAATAGAAGTCGTTTATTGGTGATTTCATGTTGGTCGAAGTTTCCGCTTTGTAACAACTGTATACGTTATTTTCTATACAAATCAATTCAGGTGAAACAAAAAAAGTACGTGTTCATGGTTGCAAACTCTTTCAGACGGCAAATCTATAGGCCTATTCCATTCTGAACTTAAAACTAGCTGCATCAAAAACGTTACGGCAGTTTGCAAACCCTACAGACTATTTACAAGTTAATAAAACGTACATATATGTAAATGTGTGTGCAAAACAGAGAACAGAAAATCTAACTCCATGCAGCTGACCGAAGTAAAATGCAGTTTTCGACTGAAGCAGCTTATCATTCCTTTGCATTGTTACTCGGACAAATACAAAACAAATGATTAAAGATTATATGCGTCGCTTTTTGTATGTTTTCTAAATAAGACCGCGTGCCCATACCTAACTGTAATAGCGATTAAAGCGATCTACAGTATTCTTTTAGTATTTATGTTAAAGCAAGCTAGGCTTTTGTTTTATTGCTGTTGTTGGATTAATCTTTCGAAACACTTAAATTTAATAAGCACAAAAACATATGACATAAACACGACTGTATTGTGGGTTTTATGGCTTTTTTGGAGGTCACCGACTCCGCTGCTGTGATAATTACTGACTGTCTCATTGTTGTTTTGATGGGTTAGCGGTATACTAATGCTATTGCCTATTAACAAAAACCAAAGGTATGATACGCTGAAGTATATTGCAACTGGTGTTTAAAAGGAGCTCGCCGGTTCTATTGATGATAGGACCTTTCTGAAACAATCTCGGACCATGAAATAGGAAGGCGATTCACTTATAGCTCACTAGCGGAATCAGTATTTTTCTGCACCGCGAATGTAACATTTTCCCTGAGGGGGTTCAGTCTTGAAAAGGCAGCTGGCAGGAGGAAGTGACGTCACAGGCACCCGCCAAGGCAGGTANGATTTGAAATCGATAAATCGTGCAGCCCTACTGAAAAATAAAATGCAGTAAATTACGTGATTTGTCTTGTATTTTCATGCAAATTTCTACAAAGCCCCTAAAAGGACAAAAACATAATCTTAAAAATTAAAATGATGAATCTTTTTGCAAAACTTTTGTTTAAAGCACTATGGGGAACAGTGCATAACATTTTATTTTTATATAATGCATTTTCATACATATTTATAAAATATCATACTGCATGTGTACATTCAAGGTACAAAGGGTAAAATAATATAGCTGAATTTCTGCAGAGCCGGGGGGTAGTATGGCAGCAGGTCCATTGTTCCATTTTCCTAGTGTCCTAGTGTTTCTATGCACTGCACGCTAGTGTGTTTATTATTTTAATATGATGGTGTCCCGCTCTAATGGGCTCAAGTCAGGGCACGGCACGGGATCAGGTGTGAGACTGATCCCGAGGTAACTGTGGAGGACGTCTTGTTAGGTGTAGGGAAGCAGATGGGATGTGACACTATTGTACCGGCATCAGCGTCGCGATTTTGGTCAATCGGTTGATTGAGAACGGAATCACGGTGCGGGGTGGTTATGTTGCACTGGTATCACCGACTGCAAAAGTTGCGGTTTCGAATGTGCCGCTTTTTGTCCCTGACGCGGATATTGCATGGGAGCTTTCTCGTTCTGGCAGAATCATTGGAGATTTTAACTTTAAACTTCCTTTAAACTATAAGTTTCCGGCGTTGAAACTTGTGGTGTCTTTTAGGAGGCAAGTGATTATGATTCTGAATGATCCTGCATTAGACCATTTTTTTCAGGTGCTCTATGAAGGTATATGTTATATGCCAGTACGGGCAGTCTACAATGTTTTGAGTGTGGAGACATTGGCCATAAGAGGCTGTCTTGTCTGCACACGAATCGCCCAGTTGAGACGGCGGGGAATGGTGGACAGTTGAGATGGTTCAAATGGAACAAGGACCTGCAGGGTAGGCCGTAAACCCTCCTGATTCTTATGCGGAAGGAAGGTCAAGTGAGAGCGGTGACGGAATGAGCGCTGGTACTGCTGCCGGAGAGACTGGGGATGGTGGCAAACCGGCCATAAATCTATAGCCAGTTGCTGTATTAGATCACCCCCCTAAAGTTGGTGACAGGTCGGGGGATAGTGTATGTAATGGGAGTTTTGTATTGGACGTTGCTGCCAAGACTGCACGCAATGACGACAATCTCTCAGACATCTTGGAACTCGCTTCGCAGGCGGGGGACAATCAGCAGCTATATTCCTTGCAAGAAGTTAATGATATTTTGGATGAGAGCTATGGGAAGTCAGTGCAACTTTCAGATTTTTTTCCGGATGTTCAGAAGTTTTTGGATTCAGTGCGACATTTCTGGAAGACGGCTAGTTACGAGGAGTTGTCAATGCAGAAAAGGTACCGATTGTTACCAAGTTGCGGCAGGGCGATGGGTCTGGTCTGTGCAAATAGCGTGAGTTTCTCACCCATCTGTTTTTTTCC